ACCAATGGATGATTCTTGTAAAGTCAATTAATACTGTGGGGCTTATAAAATGATGATTTTCTTATTCTCATTCCTTCTGTATTTGCTAGCTGGCATTTTTTGCATGAGGAAGAGCTTGCTTTCTCTCTTCTACTTCTCTCTTCTGTATCACTAGGAACTCATGACATTTTTTTGGTGTTGTGCAATAATCCATTACCAGTTATTCTTTTTGAAGCTAAGCTGTCTCAGTTTGGTCAATGGTGGCCTTCTGTGTTTTTTTATCAGGTATTTCAGTACATTCTTATTTATAGCATAAAATGATTTTCCAGAATTACTTTCTACTTTCTATGTCCCATCTGCAAACAGTACAATTATCAAAGTACAATTATCAAAATTAAGAAATGAACAACATAGGAATTCCCTGGTGGTCCAGTGGTTAGGATTCCTCACTATCACTGCCAAGGGCCTGCATTCAATTCCTGGTCAGGGAACTAAAATTCCATAGGCCAAAAAGAAAAAAAAAAAAAGGAAATTAACATTGGTATGCTATTAACCAAACTATACTCTTTATTTAGATTTCACCAATTTTTCTATTAATATCCTTTTTTTTGTTCCAAGGTCTAATCCAGGATTCCACACTCTAAGATGAATTAAGAACTAATGAAATAAATTAGAATGCCCAGAAATAGATGTGTGGAGACATGGTAATACACTATGGCATTATAACTGCAATTACATTACAATTACAAACGTTAATAATAAGTCCGTGCAACTGGCTTTATGTGTTAAAAGGTAAAACTAGATTCCTTCCTCAAACTATGTAGAATAATGAATTCCATATTGATTCAAAGCTTAAATATTTTACTTAAATATTTTTAAATAGTATTAATATTAATTAAAGAAAATACTATGATCTTGGGTTACAGTAGAATTTTAAAATAAAATTCAAAAGAAAAAAAATCAAATGGGAAAGATCAAAAGATCAGCCTACACAAAAATACAAAACTCTCATAAGACCAAGGTCACGGCAGAGGGAGTCTGGGAGAGTTAGAGAAAACATACACAAAAAATAATATAGACAAAGAGTTACTTTTCAAAATATATAAAATATTATTTAAATTAGTATAGAAAATATAATTTAAAAATGAAGTCATTCACAAAAGCAATGAAAAGCCAATACTTGTGATGTACAAGCTCATTAGTAATCTCAGAGTGAAAGTTACTCAGCTGTGTCCGACTCTTTGCGACCCCACGGACTGTACAGTCAATAGAATTCTCCAGGCCAGATTACTAGAGTGGGTAGCTATCCCGTTCTCCAGAGGATCTTCCCAACTCATGGATTGAACCCAGGTCTCCGTTGCAGGTGGATTCTGTGCCAGCTAAGTTACCAGGAAAGCCCAAGAATACTGGAATGGGTAGATCCTTCTCCAGCGGATCTTCTTGACTCAGGAATCAAACCAGGGTCTCCTGCATTGCAGGCAGATTCTTTACCAGTTGAACTACATGGGAAATCATTTCTGGAAGTAATGTCAGAAATGCAAATTAAAATGATGAGCTTTTTTCAGAAATGTGATTGGCGGACTTCTCCTCTGGTCCAGTGGTTAAGAATCTGCCTGCCAATGCAGAGGACATGGGTTTGATCCCTGGTCTGGGAAGATTCCACGTGCCAAGAAGCAATAAGCCCAAGCGCCACAACTACTGAAGTCTGCAAGCCTAGAGCCCATGCTCCACAATAAGAGAAGCCTGCAAACTGCAACGAAGACCCAGTGCAGCCATAAATAAATAACATAGCCACAATCAAATTTCCTTAAAAAAAAAAAAAGAAATGAGATTGGTCATACATCTAGAGTCTGACAATACCAGTTGCTGATTGCTGGCAAGAAAGCAGGGTAAGTGGCAGTCTTATGCACAGCTCTACCATCTAGCTAAGGGAAACACTCATGCAGAGCTATTTTAAGGGCATGCAGACCATTGAACCTTCTTCCAGATATTCTAGATCTTACTGCTGGACCAAGCAAGACCATTGGAAAACTGTCTATTCAAACTCTGTAATGGACTGAACATTTGTGTCCCCTCCTCCTGTCCCAATTCGTATGTTGAAAATCTCCAACATGATGGTATTTGGAGATGGGGCCTTTGGGAGATAGCTGGCTCATCAGCATGGAGGCCTCATGATGAAATTAGTTCCTGTAGAAGAAAAGACACAAGAGAGCCTGCCCCCCAGCTCTCTTTCTCAACCATGTGAGGATACAAAGAGAAGGTGGCTATCTGCAAACTGGAAGAGGGTCCTCATCAAGAACCAAATCTGTCGGCACCTTGACCTTGGACTTTCTAGACCCCAGAACTCTGAAACATAAGTCTGTGTTGTTTAAGCCACCAGTCTATGATAATTTGCTACAGCAGTGCCAATGTTTTGGTACTCTAAAAGACTCCTCTGTGGGTTCTCTTCTGCTGTTAGGAGGATCAGAAGCCAATCTGCAGCTTGACTTTGATGACTCTGGCACATTATAGAACCTGCAGATATCTAGACTCTGACTCAGCTTAGCTAGTGCCCTGACACTCTGTACAGTTTTTTGACATTGGTTTTCATGTATTTCTACCTTTTCATTCTAATACTTGTTCCCTTACAAATTGCACAAAGTTCATTGTAAAACAAACTGGGAATAAACAACTCACCTGTGATCTGTTCATTTCTTGATTCTCTTGGAAACCTGAAAAGAACCTTAAAGGTACAGCTGGGGAAGGAGACAGAAGGAGGTCCTGCGCAACTGAGCCTGCTGTGCAGCTCCCAGAGTCAGCTGCCGATTAAGCCTCACACAGCAGCTGCCTACAGGCCCCCGTGAGACAACAAATCCCTTTATCCCTAAGAAGGGCAGGACAGATCCTGTGGAAGAGCACCCATATGTCTACGTTGACTCTGATAGGTCAGAGAGAGCTTGGAGTGTGATTTTTCATTGAATGAAGGTACCTATTTCTTGAGGAGGGCTTCCCTGGTGGCTCAGATGGTAAAGCGTCTTGTCTGCAATGCTGGAGACCCGGGTTCGATCCCTGGGTTGGGAAGATCCCCTGGAGAAGGAAATGGCAACCCACTCCAGTACTCTTGCCTGGAAAATCCCATGGACAGAAGAGCCTGCTAGGCTACAGTCTGTGTGGTCACATGGCAATCCATTCCAGTATTCTTGCCTGGAGAATCCTATGGACAGAGGAGCCTGGCAGGCTACAGTCCATAGGATTGCATAGAGTCAGATATGACTGAAGCAACTTAGCATGCATGCACACATACATTTCTTACTACTTTATAAAGAATTCATCTTTCCCTCCCACTGACTGAAACTGAACAACAGAGGACTAATTAAACAAAGTACAGTACAGAGAAGACTGTGCCTTCATTAGAACCAACACTGCAAAAACAACTAAATAAAATCAGGGAAGCAAGCAAGCAAGCCTTGACTGTACTGTGTCTCTGGATTCTTAGTGACAGTGTTTGGACCTTAAGTTAGAAAATCCTCATCAACATCTCCTGGAAAGGGATAGAGTACTTTGTTTACTCTTAGCTTCTCAAAAGGATCTTTCAATAAAAACAACTTGATGTGACTTAATTATTAAGAGTGGACAGCAGTGAGTTCTCTGTGCACACAACTAATAAATTATGTGACTCTACACAAGTCATTCATTTTCTAGGACCAATTTCTTTCACCTCTCAAATAAAGGCAAAACAGGAAAACAATCTTCAAAGTCTCTTTACACATTGATTTCTTTAACAAACAGAATTAAAGGAGTAAAGAGCAAATGCAGGGTGAGGGGAGTGGGCTGACTAGGGCCCGAGAGAGGGGCAGGTTCCCCTTCTGCAGGCAGTCATTCCTTTTGCCGAGCGGTGTCCTCACAAAGCTGCCTCCTAACTGCCCTCAGCTGTGCTGCCGGCCCGTGCTCATGCTGCCAGTGTCATCTCGGCTCTGAAGCTGCTCACTGGACGCTATGCAGTGGCTTCTGGATGTAATGACTTCACCCAAGCCTTGCTTACTCTGAGCAGGAGAACCAAGAATTACACCCAGGAAGTTCTAGAATATAGTCTCTCTTGGGTCTCTTTTGCCTCCATTCTGAGCTCTGGTAATCTTCCAGGTAGGCTTTCTGTGGATTGCCCCTTCTCACCTCAAGAGCTGTTTTGTTACAAGAAAGCTGGGACCAGGGCCAGAGGGACCAATTAAACTTAGTTGGAACTTTCAAACAGGGCCCCCAATCTGACCCTCACGGAACATACTTTCTCCAAGATTCATAGGCTGGGTCATCTACAAACTCAAATAAGGTCTTCCAAATACAAAGACAGAACAAGGCAGACCCGGCTTAGAAATCTCAATTGGGCTGCCTGTTCCAAGGGCTTAGAAGAGTCATCAAGAATCCCCAAGACACAAGGGCCAAGCAAGGATTCAGTCCATATGCATTTCACAATTGTTTCCTTGGGATCAAGAAAGACTTATCAGGGCCCAACGCTATGAATAACAATGCTGGGTTTTAAGCAGGGTGGTTTAGTAGAAAGAACAAGAGATTTGCAAAAAAGGAAAAAAGAAAATTGAAAGTTGAAATTTAGACTCCCACCACTGCTGACTCTGTGATCTTGGATCACTTCACCTCTCTGAGCCTCAAGTGGTCCCCTCTCTTAACATGAAGACAGTTAAACCCACCTCAAAGATAGTTGTGAGAAACGAAGATCTCTGATGGAAAAACCCAGTGTGTGTGTTTGTATATACATAATACACATATTGGGCTTCCCAGGTGGTTCAATGGTAAAAGAATCCACCTGCCAATGCGGAAGCTGCAGATTTCAGTTGGATCCCTGAATGGGAAAGATCCCCAGGAAAGGAAACGGCAACCCGCTTCATTCCAGTGTTCTTGTCAGGATAATCCCATGGACAGAGGAGCCTGGCGAGAGCAGACAGGGTCAGAGGAGCAGAGCCGGACACAAATGAGCACCCATACACTAATACATACATTATACATACACACATACATACTACTATACATACATTATATATACAGCGCAGAGCTGGATGACTTGGGTATTACTAACATTCTCGTTTTGCTGAAGACGAAACCATACCTCCTGCAGTTAACTGTCATTCCCGGGTTGCTCAGTGACAGCGCTGGAACGTGAACCCCGCTCCAACCGCTCCAGCCAGCGCTCCCCTTCCCTTGGCTGGACGAGCACGCACGAACTGTGCAGCCTCCACGGAGCCCGCGCCCCTTCCACTGACAGAGGCGCCTCCACCCAGCGGTCCCTTCAGCGAGACCAGGCGCCTCCTCTCGCCCCCTCGAGTTCACAGTGCCGCGGGGTCTCGCACAGAGGTCAGTTGGGCTCCTCCCCAGTGCCGCCTCCGCCCGCCCCCGAGCCGCGTCGGTAGCCCTCTTCCCCCCCAGCCCTCCCGGGCTCACCCTCTGCTCCCTCGTTGGGTTGCACTGACTCCTGAGGAGCGCAGAGACTCGGCAGCCCAGGAACCGCTTCCAGAAAAAGGCGGCAGCCTGGGGAAAGACAACTTGGAGCTACAAGCGGAAGTATGCCTGTGCCAACGGAGCCGCGTAGTCCAATACTGGTAAAAGGTGCATTTCCCTATGTCTTTACTATGGATAATCTCGGAGTTTCTCTGTTAAACGCTCCTGTTACCTGGCGCCCAAGATTTTTAAACTTTGCCAGGTAATAGAATAGAACGCGACTTTACTGACATAGGGTTTCCCCGGTGGCTTGGGGATAAAAAATCTGCCTGCAATGCAAGAGAAGCAGGAGACGCAGGCTTCATCCCTGGATTTAGCTCAGGAAGATCCCCTGGAGGAAGGCATGGCAACCCATTCTAGCATCCTTGCCTGGAGAATCCCATGGACTGTCTCCATGGACAGAGACTGTCCTGTGGATAGAGAAACTTGGCCGGCTGCAAAGCGTCAGACAAAACAAGCCGACTTGAGCACACACGCATATTACTGACAAAATACCTAGGTGTAATGCGTGATTCTTGAGTGTATCTGGCTTAAATCAGCAGCAAAAGACATTTGGGGAACAAGTAAGGGTTAATTTTTACTTATTAAAATTGAACTGTTAGTGATATTAGGAATTATTGTTATTTGTAGTGTGATAGTAGTAAGCTTGTAGGAAATGCTGATTTTTAGAAATGCAATACTGAAGTATTTAATGAAAATATTGTGTGCAAAATGTTATAAAGGGCAAATGTAGCAAAAATTCTCAGCGTTTAATCTAGGTAATGAATATAGATATTCATTTTATTATTCTTACTACTTTAACAAAAAACAGACCAACAAAAAAACTGGGTAGTACCTCCAACCAGTGTATGTGTGTGAATAAACACATATTTTAGAACTAGCTTTTTCCATAAGAAGAAGTACACATTTGACTGGATGTATTATTAACATAAATCTACAACCATTGTAGCAAATTTATTCTTTAATGCTGATTTTTTGCTTCTGGCATTAATTTGTATATTTCAGATTCACTGTACATTCCATGATGGTGCTGGCATTATTTAGCTATAACATCAGACTTTTGTTCCTAAATTATGGGTTTTCTGCTTTATTTTCATTAATTTCTGCTTTTATCATTCTTTTTTCTACATGCTTGGATTTTATTTTGTTATTCTTTTTCCAGTTTAAGGTGGAAACTTCATTTTCTAATATGAATATTTACTGCTGTAAAATTCCTCCTAAGTGCTGTTACCTATGTGCCACAAATGTTGACATGTTATATTTTCATTTCTGTTCTATTCAAAATCTTTTCTGATTTCCTTTGATAGTTCTCTTTGACCTGTGGATTATTAAGAAGTATTTGTTATTCCCAAGTGCTTGGAGATTTGCCAGCTTTTATTATTGATTTCTACTTTAATTCTATAATGGTGTGAGAACATACTTTGTGTGATTTCAGTTCTTTTAAATGTAATATTTGTTTTATATTGGAGACTATTCTGTGCAGACTTGGAAAAAAGTTTATTTAATTGTTGATTTTAGTGTCCTGTAAATCGTAGTTGGTTGATGGTGTTATGCAAGTTTTCTATGTCCTTGATGATTGTTCTGTCTACTGTTTCTAATATTGATAAAGAAATATTCATGGTGTTACCCAATTGTTCCCTCCCTGTGTGCACACTATCATTAGCAATAGTAGTCTCTACCTTCGACTGGGAAATAGCATCGCTGCAAGAGGGGTTGGAGCCGGGGCCTGATGTGGGCTGGGAGGTACCCTGGGATGGTCACGGCATGCCTGCCAGAGTCCCAGGCAGTTTTCAATCTACTACCTCTGTGCTGTGACCCAGAATAAAGCAAAACTGTGTGCACATTCCTCAAACTATGAAGGAGCTAAGAAGCTCCTCACAAGCTAAGAAGGCTGATATTTTCTGGTATCGGAACCCCATAGCTGAGGTGCCTAATGTATAGCTCAAACCTCTCACTCCTCAGGGATGTAGCTCCTCCTCTGTGTCCATCACTAGGGCTGTGGGTCCCAACCAGGTTGCTCCTCCCTTCCTGCCAGACCCTGGGAGGATCTTTCTTTACAGTCTTGGTTGTAGAAGAGCTGTTCTGCTAGTCTCCAGGTCGATTTGAGGGAAAGTTGTTCTATATGTTGTTGTAGTTTTTGATGTGTTCATGAAGGAAGATGGGCTTGGCATCCTTCTGTTTGCCATCTTTATCTTGCTCATGTTCTCTATTTCTTCATGAGTCAATCTTCATAGATCCTATTTCTTCATGAGTCAGTCTTCACAGGTCTTGTGTTTCTAGGAATCTGTTTCATCTATGTTATGCAATTTGTTGGAATAAATTACTTACAGTACTTTCTTTTAATTCTTTTTATTTCGGTAGGATGAGCAGCAATGTCCCCACTTTCATTTCTGATTTTAGTAATTTGAGCCTTCTCTTTTTTTCTTAGTCAAGCTAAAGTTTTGTCAAGTTCATCCATCTCTTCAAAATCAATTCTTCAGCTTGCTGATTTTTTTCTGTTGCTTTCTATTCTTTATTTTTTTCTGCTCTGTTATTATTTCCTCCTTTCTGTTATCTTTGAATTTAGCTAGTTCTTCTTTTGCTGGTTCCTAGTTTGGTTGTTTTGAGTTCCTTTTTAGTTTTAAATGTAACTACTGATAGGTATTGCTTTCATGGAATCCATAAGTTTTGATATATTGTTTTTGCTTACATTTGTCTCTAAGTATTTTATAATTTCCCTTGTAATTTCTTCTTTGACCCATTGGTTTCTTAAGTGTGTCTTGTAATTTCCACAAATTTGTGTATTTTCTAGCTTTTCTTCTATTTATGATTTCTAACTTCATCCTGTTGTTGTCAGAGAAGATACTTCTTATGACACCTATCTTTTAAAATCTACTGAGAGTTAACTTGTGGACTAACATAGTCTATTCTGGAGAATGTCCCATGTGCACTTGAGAAGAATGTGTATTCTCCTGTTGTTTGGTAGTTTTCTGTATATATGACATTTGTTATATCTAGTTGGTTTACTGTGTTTTTTTAATCCTTTATTTCTATACTTCTATCTAGTTCTCCTATCTACTATTGAGAATAGAGTATTAAAGTCTCCAAGCAGGATTGCAGAACAATATATTTCTCTTTTCTTTTCTGTTCATTTTTGCCTCAACTATTTTGATGGTCTGTATTGTGTGCATAAATGATTATATTTGAAGCTTTTATTGGGTTGAACCTTTTATTGGGTTTGATTCCTAGGTTGGGAAGATCCCCTGCAAAAGGGAATGGCTACCCACTCCAGTATTCTGGCCTGGAGAATTTCATGGACAGGGGAGCCTGGTGGCCTACAAGTTCATGTGGTTGCAGAGTCAAACATGACTGAGTGACTAACACTTTCACTTCACTATACTTCTTTACAAAATTTATTTTTAATTGAAGCATAACTGCTTTACAGTATTGCCTTGGTTTCTGCTATACATCAACATGAATTAGCCATAGGATACATATGTCCTCTCCCTTTTGAACCTCCCTGCCCCCCTCCCACCTCATTCCACCCCTCTAGGTTGTTACAGAGCCCTGGTTTGAGTTCCCTGAGACATATAGCAAATTCCCATTGGCTATCTATTTTACATATGGTAGTGTATATGAATCCATGTTACTCTCTCCATTCATCCCATCCTCTCATCCTCTCCCCACCCCCATGTCCATAAGTCTGTTCTCTGTGTCTGAGTCTCCACTGCTGCCCTGCAAATAGGTTCATCCATAACGTTTTTCTAGATTCCATATATATGTGTTAATATATGATATTTATTTTTCTCTTTCTGACTTACTTCACTCTGTATAATAGGCTCTAGGTTCATCTACCTCATTAGAACTGACTCAAATGCGTTCCTTTTTATGGCTGAGTAATATTCCATTTTATATATGTACCACAGCTTCTTTATCCATTCATCCACTGATGGACATCTAGATTGCTTCCATACCCTAGCTTTTGTAAATAGTGCTGCAGTGAACACTGGGGTACAATTGTATTTTTCAATTTTTATTAACATAAAATATAATGCTTTATCTCTTAAAATTTTAAAGCCTTTAAAAAAAAACTGATAGTATAGACACCTCTGCACTCTCTTGGCTATTATTTGCACATAATATCTTTTTCAATCCTTCCACTTTCAATCCATTTTTGTCTTCAGATGAAAAGTGAATATTATTTAAAAAAAAAAGAAAAGTGAATATGTTGTAGGACAGCATACCATTGACTCATTATAAAAATCCTTTCCGCCAATCTTTGTCTTTTGATTTGAGAGTTTTATCCATTTACATTTAATTATTTATAAGAAAGGACTTATTTCTGTCATTTTGCTACTTATTCTCTATATGCCTAATAACTTTTTCCCCCTTATTTTCTACATCACTGTCTTCCATTTAGTCTTTTTGTAGTCAAGTGTTCAGTTCAGTTTAGTCACTCAGTCATGTCCAACTCTTTGTGACCTCATGGACTGCAGCACGCCAGGCCTCCTTGTTCATCACTATCTCCCAGAGCTTACTCAAACTCATGTCCATCGAGTCGGTGATGCCATCCAACCATCTCATCTTCTATTGTCCCCTTCTCCTCCTCCCTTCAACATCCCAGCATCAGGGTCTTTTCTAATGAGTCAGTTTTTTG